ACTAATTAATAGTTGAGGTTAGATCTAAGTGGTGAGGAGGTGGAGGGTAGGTACCTGTGCCTTTGATCATCATGGACGATTACCGGATGTTCACACTCCTGTCCCTGTCTGTGCTATGGGGACCCCTACTTCGCTTATTCTTTCCTCTTGGGTTCTAGCGAACCCTCTTCTCTCATACAATGCTAAGGTCTGGGAAGTCAACACAGTCCCAGACAGTTGAGGAACGGACAGAGATAGACCGCCGCTTGGCAGAAAAGAAAAAAGAAGAGGAGAAGAAAAGGAAGGAGCAGGAGGACCTCACCCGCCGAATTTTGGGGGAATGACATGGGCGTCATCAGATCAACCACTGAGGTATTTTGGGATCACACTAGCAGATACAGGTCCTCACTACTCGATGGCACAACAGCAGATGACCAAAATGTTAGCCAAAATGTCAGTATGGTCTGAAATTTATACGTCACTTTTTGGGAGGGCACTAATATTAAACGCTTCTATCTTCTCCATGTTATGGTACGCAGGAACAATATGGACACCTCCATTACACTCTCTAAACAAGCTCAGGAGAGAGGCAGCAGCATACCTCTAGACAGCGAACCCTACTAAGATAAATTATATTTCAAAGGTAGCATGGAGACAGGTTATTCAGACAAAGGATCAGGGGGGTTTGGGAATCCTCGATCTGGGTCAGCAGATCAAAGCACTCCAAACTAAATGGGTTATCAAATTACTCACACAACCCCATCTCCGCTGGGTTCCATTGGTTTTGGACCATATACGAGGGATGGCTAAGTATAAAACTCCTCCTAATATGGAAGGAACGTTCTGTTTTTTTTGTAAAGGTTGGGCCAAAAGGAGAGGAGAAGGAATACAGGGAGCGGAAGATGAATCGACCAGGAATTCATATTGGGCACAAATACTTAAGATTTGGACAGATATATTCCCGGCAAGAGTAAGACAACCAAGAACGAAGGAGGAAGTACTTAGGCAACCGTTATTTTGTAATCCATGGTTGAAGGACCCCCAAGGAAGACCAAGGACACTCACAGCAAAGGATGCCAAGTGGGGAAACTGGTTGGAACATGGAGTATGGCAAGTGAAACATCTATGGTCAGAATTGAATGGAAGATGGAAAAGGGGTAGAGAACTGAGGGAAGAAATGAAGGGGTGTCATAGACTAATTGAAAACCTGAACGACATATTAATCTCCATTCCGGAGGATTGGACGAGGATGTTGAGGGGTCCATACAAATGGGGATGGGGTGATTGGGCAACCTGGAGTCATAGTGTAGAACCTCAACAAGCTTTTCGAATTGGTCAGGAGGTAGGACCAGATAAACAGTGGTTGGAAGCGGATATGTATTCAATCTTTACTCCAGGCAACACAGTGAGCCACTTAGATAAGGATTCAAGGGTACCGATCACCATCAGGAAGGATCTCTTGAGAAAAGTCAGAGTCATAGAGAATGATGAATTCACAATATATATCCAACGATCACCATTCTGAATCTAGAGGTAGACCCAGTTGAATGGGCATGGAACATCAAGGGAAGCTCGTCACGAGTGGTCAAGAAAATTAACATACTTCAGTGTACGACTAAATGGGGATATCGGCTTAGAAGAAGGTCGAACCACTTGGATAGGCCTTTGGTGATAAGATGGGAAAAAAGGGTGGGCATACCAAGACAACAGGTAGGCAAAATACCATGGTCAAGCCTTCATGGTATCAGGTTGGGTAAGATCCGGAGTATGCAGTGGCTTATATTCCATGTGGCACTTCCGGTTAACGTATGGTTATATGAAAAAAAGAGTAGGTAGTATAGGGAAGAAATACAACAAGACTGTACTATGTGCACTGACAAAGAGCTCGAAACGATGGTACATTGTTTACTTAATTGTACGGAAGCATAATACATATGGGCCATGGCCGGTATACTTTGGGAGCGTACTACGGACGTTCGCTTTCCAAGTAGTAGAAGGCTCTTGCTTATGGGAAGAGAAGTACCTAAGACATGGAAGGAGAGTGAAAAATACATCTTTCAGCTATTGAGACAGTATACATTGTGGATTATCTGGAAACGGAGATGTCAACGGGTGATCGGCAAAAGTCTGATGACTAGGATGGAAGCCAGAACTATACTCTATAATCTATTGGAAACAGACATTAGAGCTCAATGGCAGAGGATCAAAATACAAGCAGCAATAAACCCTGAAAAGGCGAAGGTTATTCTCACGAAATTTCAGAACAAGGTATTGGCCAGTGGCAAAGTTGCGACCATAGGGGGACAGAGACTGATTTTTCATTGGTTTAAGGAGGACAGATCAGAGGTGTCCTTGGAGATCCAAGGAATGACACAGGAAATAGGACTACCATAGGGATAGGAAATGGGAGAGAAAGTGAAGGCCAGTGGATTGATGTTTAAGCAAAATAAAAAGCTATAGTTAAGGGTTTAGGGTTTAGGGTTTTGGATAGACTTATACAAATAAGGTTTGGAATGGTAAGGTTTTTTCAGGAGGACT